ATTACATGAAACGTGTACTTTATTTTCTGTTTTTTAATTACATTATTTTTAGTAAAGCTGTGTTGTTTTCAATATAATAAAACCTCATGCAAGTCCAACAAACGAGATATGGTGGTCAAGTTTCGTTTTTCAAATGGAATTATATATTTTTTGGTTGTACCATGCGATAGTACTTTCCAAGACTAATTCATTAAGCTTTAAGCTTTGAAGCAAGCTTCAAAGTTTGCTAATTTTCAAGGAAAAATCTCGGTTCGGCCGCGGGCGCACAGTGCAGAATAAGCGGAGAAAATTCAATATTAGTATATATCACAATGTGAGACAGATTTCTATCGTAGAAAATGTGTGGAAATTGTTATAAATAATCATGTATCAATCATTTGTATCCATAATACAATCTTTATCTTTAAACAAACATACAGACAAAACGGCAAAAAATATCTTGTGTTCTCAACATATTTGGATACATAATTTCTTATATTTTAAGAAACTTATAAGTTTGTTTGCAAATACTTGCAACGTTTGGTTTTACATAATTTTTAATAAGGGACCGTCCGGTTGGTGTAGGGTCGCAATTGGAAATTAAAAATTCTGATTTAATTGATTTATGGATTTCTGTAAAAATTATTTTTCACGTCCTCAGCCAAAAAGAAGCATAGTGTGTTAAATAACATATGGGTGCAACTTCTATTATTTGTGAGAAAAAAATACCTAAAGAATTCGAAATATAGTCTACTAAAGCGACAATTCTACAATATTACATCATTTTCCTGTATAATAATCATAAACTCATACGTACCGTTGGATTCAGAATAAAAAAACGCTTTTACTGATCCAGAAATAAATCAAAATTTTCACAAATTTCAAGGAGGGGGGGGGGGTAACTTAAAAAAAAATTTGTTTCTTTTTTAAATTGTTGGTATTGGTTTATAGGCCTCTAAAAACAGTGTAATGTTTGCTTGAGTATGCAACATCCGAATGCTCGGATAAAAGGGTTAATTTCTCCCTCAAAGGCAAAATTCGCACATACTGAGGATGGTGTAAAAACCGGGGTTTGTTAATTTTTTGTGAAATTTGTTAATGTTGTTGTGATTTTATTAATGTTTATGTTTAATTTTAATTTTTTTTTGTGAATAAATAGCAATATATTTATATTAGTAATGAAATTTTGACTTTTGTCCACAATTTTGCTATTTATCCGCACTGTGGGGCGGTCCCATTGATGCAGTAAGCACCATACGGTTCTTGAAATCGATACGGAGGGTCTCGCTTGGGATTCTAGGCCCAGAATATTGGGATTCTTCTCATTTTCCTTCCTTGGGCCTAGAATCCCAAACGAGATCCTCCGTATCGATTTCAAGAACCGTATGGTGCTTACTGCATCAATGGGACCGCCCGAATTTTTTCCTTGAAAATTAGCAAACTTTGAAGCGTTATAGCTTGAAAATTAATAAAAATCGGGTAAGTACATGTAAAGAAATTAGATTTATTTAAGTAGAAATTCGAGAAAAAATCGACAAAACCGTGTAAATAAACTTTTAATGTCGTTTCTTTGTTTTTCAGGTAAGATAGGGTAGTTATAATGTAAAAATGTACAAATAAAGTACAGATGGTAATCTGAGGGGGCCATATCTGGAGAATATGTCGCATAAATGAGAATCATTTTTGTAGCCTCATATTTCTTCAACTCAGCATTTTTCTTCAACTCCAATGCAAACAGAATACAATGTCTAATGTGCTCTTTCTGAAACTTGATGGTGCGAAGTATTGTTTTCCGAGATTATATACCAATTAGGTTAAAGTTACATAGTGAATTTAGTAGCGTGAAGCTAATACCTTACGACACCGATCGGCGGGACAAAAATTTCAATATGAAATGTAATTAAAGCTGAATATATGTAAAGGGACCGAACTTATTTGTACACCTAATATATAGCTGCAACTGTGAACATGTTTGTTTGGGACAAAAGCAGCAACATAACAAAAAAAAACTTACAGGTCTTCAATAATTACTTAATATAAATCAATTTAATATTCTAATTAGTAAAATTAGTAAATTTATTCATCAAATTTAAGGTCAGGGTCTAAGTGTTACTAAATGAAAAGGGTGATTTTGACTAATTGTCATTAATTTACTTCATTAAAATATAAAAGTTTTAAAATAGAGAAAACATATAATTGAATAATAGACACAGAAATTTCTAATATTATTAATATATTTTGAACAATAACCACGACAGTGGTTGAAAACCGACTTACTAAAATATAGAAAAGGTAAAATTAATTTATTATTAACGCAAAACTAATCTCATAGCTCAGCGACCAATGCAATCAAACGCTAACACAATCCTGTAGCTCAGCGAATAGTGTAATCAAGCACAAAGCCTGTCGTCTACAATCATTTACTCACTTCCGTTTGATTACATTTAAAAGTGAAGAACGAAACCAGAATGGTTTTCAACCATAAAAGAAAACGAAAATCGACTGTAGGTATCCCGGAAAATTCAAAAAGTCACCTTACTTTTTTATCAGACCTCGTATACCCTCGTGCTTCTCGTTAGCTTCGAAACGTGTCGTTCTAACAGTGTGTGTTTTGGTATTCGAAGCGTTGCACAGTGTGATATTTCAGCGATCTAGCTGGACGAAACTTACGTGATCCAATATCTCGGAAACTATTAAGTGTAGGAAAAAATGTTGTACATGAAAATTTTGTATCTTTTAATGAAAAATTCACTTATATAATTAGATTTTAGAAAAATTTATTTCTACATATTATGTATTAACATTAATACATTTTTACTGCAAAATTTTAGTCAATTTTCACGACAATTTATGTATGCAAACTACAGATCAAACTACGGAATATGTATTTTCTGATATTTTGTTTTCTTATATTATGTTAATGGAATAATACGGTAATGAAAATTATCCTATTTGTACTGTACTTATTAGGTTGTCCCAAAAGTTTCTTTCGCGAGTTGCACTCAATTATTTTATGTAGTCGTGTTTATATAAATAGACAATCTAATTTCATAGATATTTATGTTGTAACAGTAATAGAGCAAGATGAATCGTGCACAATTCAGTAATGTAACATAAAACATAAACTATTGTGCATGTATTACTTATTAATAAAGCAAAAGAAACTTTTGGGAACACCTAATACATTCTGTGCGACTCAACACCTAGTCTTCAATCCTATTAGGGATCCGTTCCTTTTCTTAAATGTGCCTGCTGTGTTCCAAAGGGTGCTCAATTTGCAAAATTAAATCTTTATTAAGCCACTTGTGGTGTCTTCTTAAAACATACTCCCTATTCCGACAATCTTTTTGTCATTTTATATTTTCATTTTGAAAGAATGCCCCTTCATTTCTTTTAAAATTCAATTTCGGAATTGTCTTTGACATTATTGACATTCAATTCTTCAGTAATATATTCCGAGAATGTTTCCATATTTTTAAATTTTGGTTCCAATTCTGTAAGCTGAAAGTAATGGAGCTAACGTGTTAAACTTCGTTTGTTCGGAATATAAACGCGATCGTCTCAGAAAATAAAATAATTCGAAACTGTATTTTTTTATTTTCGTAAAAAAGACATATTGTAAATATGATACCAGTAAACAATTTTGACAAGATCCTCCAATATTTCTCGGGTAGGTGATATTGTGTACTTTTTTAAGATTCCGATTTTCGCATGACTTGCGTTTTCTCAATTGTAATTCGAAATATTTAGATTCCAGAAGTTCTAACCTATCGTACTTAAAACACAAATCATTTTTCTTTAGTTTGAGGCTAATTAGATGTAAAAATATCAATTACTCTTCAATGGAGAACGATTTGAATTTGAATAGTCGGAACGAGATGCAGTTCCCCTATTGGTTTGCAATTAAAAAATTATTAGTTGTCCATATTTGTCCACGTTCTGACTGCTTGTGTTCGATAGCCTATGAGTCTAGCTTTATGCGCAAAAAACTTACATCTCCAACACGATCAAATACTATGTTAAAAGTCTAATCATATCTCGAGAACAGTCAATGAAAAACACGTTAATTGTTACAAAGGTTTAGAAGGCCAATAAAATGGATTTTGAAAAAAAAAACAAAACATGTGAAAATATCTTGGAAGACATACAAATTTAATACATCCACTCAAATATCATTAGAGGATACTGGTACAATGCAGTTGTGAATTGAAGTCAAGCGAACGATACGCGTCCATAGGATGAAACACTGTGTGCTCGAAGTTCAGAGCCTATTAATTATTAACTATACCTTATTTTTAACTTCCCGATTTACAAGGAAGTTATTGTATTTGCTCCTAAAATGAAAAATCGATTTTTTAGCAGATCTCCATGTGTCAAGGTCATTGGAGTAATTTTAACCTATTTTTAACAAATTGTTCGTGTGCGTGCGTGCGTGCGTGCGTATGTATGTGCGTATGAAAACAAATTTTTCGTTAACGTTTTCTAAGAAATTAATAGCGAGATCAAAATGATCGATGATGCAATCGATGTGTATCAATCTAACTTAGAGCTGATTAGATTTTGTTCTAATTCAGTCCAGTAGTTTTTTAGTTTTTTTAAGAAAACTTAACTCAATAATGCAATCTAGATGGGAGAATGTAAATTTTTGAGTGAATAACTAAGCTGAAATAAATAATATACATATATATACAGGGTGCTCCGAAAGTATGGAAACAGTCAAATATTTCCAAAATGGAACATTTGTGATTAATGGTTAACGGAACACCTCATTTTTGATCATGCACTATGAAAGCTGGCTATGAGACCTTTTCAAAACACTAATTTGGAATAATATTTACGTTTTCTGGCGAAATGGACATTCAATTCTTGATTTATAATATTCATAGACACATTTGGAACATTTCGAAAATGACCGTTTGTCCAGCTAGATCGCTGAAAATCCACACTGTGGGTTGCACGACTGCATGACGACCGCATCCTCCTGTTCGAACTAAACCATGTTGCGTTGTGTTTGCTTACAGAGTGTACGATGTTGGAAGGTGGACGTGCAGTGGTCTGGCTCCTTGTATCAGCCCCACGAGCTGCACGCCACCCGAAAGATTCACGAACTAACCCAATTGTACCTGTTTGAGTCCACCAGTTGCAGAGCCCCTGCACCGTAACCCCCATGACGCATTTAACACATGGCCCGCCTGGAGAGTAAGTGTACATCGACGGTCAGGATTGTTCGTTCCACGCTCCCATGTCCTATTTCTCCGCAGACCGAGATCACGTAAAAACGAAAACAGCGAAAAGGTCGAAAGCGACGAGCTCTTTGGCCGTTGGTCGATCGGGTCGGCGTAACTTGTTCGGTCGCACGAAGCTGGGAGCAATGTCCGACAGCTGGTCCCGGTAAATGGGCTCGAGGGAAGATCGGTTAGAATTGCGTTTGATTGTTGCAGTACCAAGCATAGTGGTGCATAAAGGCAGCAGGTCGCAGAGTCGACCTGAGAGTCCCACGGTGGTGGTGCGAGGAGGAATGCCCTCGCTGCCATCCTCCAGGCAAGGCTACGTCATAGGTGGCCCGAACTTGTCGAATCAGAGCAGCTCGGAATTGGATATGATAGACGGGAATGTCAATCCCAATGTCGACTCTTCTCCCCCGCTTCACCGCACCTCGCCCTCCTGTCCGCCCGATAGAACCGACACGGAGAACAAAAACTTTCGTAACAGGGTACGTGTGCCGTTCGGGGATGCGAGCTCCTCCCGTTTCCCGCATCGGTGCATTTTGGCCAATAGTTAGACCAATTGTCTAATTTTTCAGACGAGTACGAAAGTAAAGTTACTGGTGAGGAGCCATGCCATGAGAGAGTCGACGTCTCCCCCGAGGGAGTCGCAGAACGGTTCGTCATCTCCGCATAGCCCTCAGTCGGTGGACGATGAGAAGAAGTTCGCTGGTAGCCTGTCCCCCAACTCCACCAAGCTCAATAACAACGAGTCGATGTTCAACAGCAACCTCTGCCCGAATCAGTCTCCGAAGCAAATGCGCAATACGGCCACCTCACCCACCTGTCGAGCTCCCTCGCGAAACGGTAATGGAATTCTCCGATAAGAATGACACAACCAGGGTTGCCATAAGTTGAACGAAATCAACCGCGTTGAGCTTTTGTGCGACGTATTAACACTTTATTTATCGGGAGCCTATTTTTAGACTTTTTAATTGCAGTATTTAGCTATTTGAATCTATTTACTGTGTTGATGGTTGTCTACAATGTTTAGTCATTGGAAACAGACTTGACTTTCAATGCACTCAGTAACAATATGGAGGAATTATTGTCTAGATTGGCATATGATACTGTAGAAAATTCTTTCTTTAATTAAAGTCTGTTCCTAAATACCCCGGTACAAGGCAGCGCAAGACCTTAGAATCACCGATTTAGTTAAAACTTTGTATACTTGTAGATTTTGTCATCCTGAAAATATACAGTGGGTGTAGAATGTATTTGTACACCGATCAATTTCCCAAAAAACTTTTGTATGAAATTGTAGTTTCTTAACTTCTTTTTTTATAATCAATGATATTTTAGTCCAAACAACATTTACTAGGTAATATAATTTGTGAAATTAACAAAAAAATGCGAAAAGTGGGTAAAAGTATAGAAGCAATAAGTACTTGTACGATTCTTATGACGAACCATTTACAGTAGAGTTTGTAACGTAAACACATTAGTTTATTGCTCCGTGCGAATTAGGAAACATGAAATTTCCAGTAAAGTACTTTTAAAAAAGGTTCTAATAGAGGAATGCTTAATTTAATGCTTACAAAAGTTACAATAATTATAAAATCAAAAGGAAATCCCACGAAGGAAATATTATATACTTATACATTAATGTAAATTTCTTTTTTTTTTTAATCAAGCGTTAAAAATTAAACAGTTGTGCGAATACTTATTGCTTCAATATTTCTATTATATCAATATTATATTAATATTATATTAATTGTTATTATATTCTATTTATATTAATTGTTTCTTTCTTGTTACTTTTGCAATGTACATAAATAGCTATTTTTGTTGTACTCTATCTATTCTAGAGATTGCCAAGAAATATGTACCATGTCATTGTTTATAAAAAATAAGTTAAAACGTTACAATTTGACATAGTTTTTTTGGAAATTGATCGGTGTACGAATACTTTCTACACTCACTGCAGAAGTATAGGTGCAGTCACTCAATAGTTTTTTAAATATTTATAAAGTTTTAATGCCAGTATTACAATAAAATACAGTTTCGTAAGTCTTGATTACAAGTGAGATTATAGGTGAACGGTACCATCCCAAATTTGCACGGTACCAGTTTGGGTTCTATTCCTTGTGAATGAATTTTATTTTATTTTTTATTTTTCTTATGTTTAAAATAATTAGATTTTGTATTTGAAGACGCATATTGAATTTTCAATAAATTTTGAGTATAATGTTCTTACTTACTAAAACTTTGCTACATAAAAAACACAAGAATATCAATTTACCACTATATAGGTATAATAAATGGTAAAAAAATTATTCACTGCATTAAAGGACGGTATAATAAATGAAAACATAAAGCATATTAATTCTTCTTAGTTAGTCTGTACCTGAAGTCAAAGGGAACATAATGTAAAAACCATTTATCACGTAAGAGAAATATTGACATGAAGGTCTTACTTACCATTACTCTTAGTGCAAAAGTGGCATTTATCATAGAAGCAAGAAAAGCATAATTAACAAAACATTTTGTACATCGAATAACAACTATCTTGTTACAGGAACGCTTCCTTCGGTTTATTTCCATTGGAAAACATACTTCGTTAATATTTTTTAAAATATCCCTTTCTGTAATAAAGACATCTATTTCAATTTTTGTCTTATGTGACAAATGATTTTTCATTATGTTCGCCTGGATTTCAGGCATATTTGATGAAGAATTAACATGCTTTATGTTCTTATTCATTATAGCATCATTTTATGCAGTGAATATTTCTTTAAATGTTTCTTATATATAATAGTAAACGTCTATTCTTGTGGTTTTTTTACTGATTACTTCAAGTAAGATCAAACGACAAAAAAGAAAATCCATCCGTACGGAATTGAACTCTAGCTAAAAAATAAACGAAAAAATAACGAAAAAAAAATAAACGATACGTGGTCAGTTTCAGTTTTTCTTTATTCCGGTGGCTCAACTCAGTATCTACACTATAGTCTTATAAAATTCTTTTGATGCATAGTTTTATCTTATCTTTCGTCTAGTTATATTTCACATCATCTCTTACCTTTAAAATAGGATCAAATGTCAATTGTCAAGTATCATTTGTTCTTATTTCTTATTACTTATAACTTATTATAAATTATACAAACTTATTCCAGTAATGCTTAGACTTATTTTATTATCTTGCAGTCCGTATCTTATTATTAGTTTTGTATAACGATGCGTGGGTCCAGTTCTTTTATACTTCTATTATTTTTTAGGTCGACTAAGACCGCCAGTCTTATAGTAGTCGTACTTATACTCTCCTCGTGCAAAAGACAGCGCGCATGCATGAACTGGAAGCAACACTGGCATCACAGGCTACAATCTTACTAGCAAATTGTACACAATCTTTCTTTACTGTAATAATGAATTATAAATATCTAAAAAAAAGTACCGAGTGTCTGCCCCTATAATACTATATTTTTTTGAAACAATAACAAGATCTACCAGTATACAAAGTTTCAACGAAATCGGTGATCCGAAGGTCTTGCACTTTCCCTGTCAGTATAGACTTTGTACTATAGATTGTTGCGTATAAAAAACAAGGATACAACGATTTGTGACGTCATGTTCGGCTTAACGCGTTGAAATCTACATTAGCAACCCTGGATACGACACTCTCGATGGTGTGATCAACTTGGTCCCCCCTCCTATCGCAGGTCAATCTAGTCCTTCTCAAGTCCACTCGCCAAAGAACACATCTCACGCATCTCCAACGAACGGCAACAAGTCGGAGTCGCAGCGTTCCAAGATGACAGGCACGAACGTCGTTCAGAAATGCAACAACTGCGTAAAGAACAATCACAACGAACGACCCGGCTTGCTGCAAACGCCCGTGTCGCCCTCCAAGTCCGGCCAGGCGTTGCAGCACTCGCCCAAGAGCATGAATCTGGCCCAAAATGCGCAAAACAATCAGCACAGGTCCGAGCAACGCAGACCGAACACACTCAACATCTGCAACAATCAATCCAACACGCAGTGCGGCAACACTCTCTCCGTCAGCAGGCCTGGCTCGCGGCACAAGCTCAGGCATCAGAATTCTTCTCAGGGTAGCTTCGACAGCGCGTCTCCATGCCTCTCGCGAGGTTTGTTCATATTCTCGTGTTGGGATGTCGGAATATAAATACAGTGGATGTAGAAAGTATTCATACAACGATCAATTTCCAAAAAAACTATGTGAAATTGTAATTTATTAACTTATGTTTTATAAACAATGATATTTTAAAAACATTCTACATATTCTCGGAAATCTTTAGAGTAGATAGATTACAAAAAAAATAGCTATTTATGTAAATTGCAAATTTAATAAGAAAAGAACAATTTATCGATAGAAATGTTGAAGCAATAAGTATTCGCACAACGGTTTAATTTTTAACACTTGATTAAAAAAAAAGAAATTTACATTAATTTATAAGTATATAATACTTCCTTCGTGGGATTTCCTTATGATTTTATAATTATCGTAACTTTTCTGAGCATTAAATTAACTAAATTATTAGTTATTCGAAATGGGATCTTTTCCCATTCCTTTATTAAAACCTTTTTTAAAAGTACTTTACTGGAAATTTGATGTTTTCTAATTCGCACGGAGCAATAAACTAATGTGTTTGCGTTACAAACTCTACTGTAAATGGTTCGTCATAAGAATCGTACAAATACTTATTGCTTCTATATTTTTACCCACATTTCGCATTTTTTTGTTAATTTCACAAATTATATTACCTAGTAAATGTTGTTTGGACTATATCTATCTTAGAGACTTCCGAGAACATGTAAAATATCATTGATTATAAAGAAAGAAGTTAAGAAACTACAATTTCACACAAAAGTTTTTTGGGAAAGTGATCGGGGTACGAATACATTCTACACCCACTGTACGCGACGGTGTAGTAACATTTAACTACAGCCGGTCACGAAAATATTCGGACACCATTATAGTTCTGATTATTATAGTGCGTACTTCAGAAATTTATCTATTAAGAACAAAAAGAGGTTTCGCATATGTTACTATGCAGTGTGTAGTTAACCAAAACATAAAAGATATTTATTTATTAGGGGGACCAGAAAGTAATGTCGTTTCTGCAGATGTCAATACTTGTTTATCATTTATCAGGTCATTGTGTACCAATTGATTTTTATCGATCTGAGTTTGAAAATTTGCACACTAAATAGCAAAAGGTTGTTGGTAAAAAGTGCGAACACAATTGATTAAAAACAAAAACTTGTTATGAATTTACTTGTTAGAATTTAATGTAAAAGAAACGACATTACTTTCTGGTCCCCCTAATAACCCAATAATAAAAATAAATAAAATGATCCCAATAATAAAAATATATGAATATTTTCGTGACATGAAAACGAGCGTACTTTTTTCTTTTATTATTTATGTAATCACTTAACGTAAATAAATATCTCGTATGTTTTTGTTAACTACACACTGTGTAGTAACATACGTGAAACTTCTTTTTGTTCTTATTGCATCAATTTCTGAAGTACGGACTATAATAGTCAGAACTATAGCGATGTCTGAATATTTTCGTGACCGACTATATATGTATAGTTTATCATTGTTACGGTGAATGTGGTAAGTGTGGTGATTATGAATAATCCCTACTGAAAGTTGGTAAATGTGATAAATTATCAAATTGACCGGTGATTTTATACATATACTGACGGACAAAATTAAAGTGACACTATTTTAAAACGTCATATCTATGGGAGTTTTCAACCGATTTTGGGGAAACTTCGCGAGGAATAGTTTTGAAGTGTCCTCTAAATGTGTGCAAAGTTGCATTGGCGAGGGTTGATACGAAGGGGTTAATTCGCCCCCGTAAAGAGGGGCACGTCGAAAAACGCCACTTCTGAGGGGGCCAGGGGTGACGGAAGGGGTTGAAAAAATCAAAAAAACCTTTGGGGCAACCCTCCTCGATGCCCTTAAACAAAAATACCCCTCAAAATCCCTCTCGGGCAAACCCACCCCTTACAACACCCCACCCCCTCCAAAATCCACAATTTCTGGACTTTAGTCCCGAATTTGGGCTCAATGCATTCCCTGGAATCTCCTGATCCAGGAAATACCATAGGCACTCCTTGGAAGGATGGAACAGTTCGCCACTTTTCAACACCCTTCGTAAGGGAGCACTTCCACACCTCTAAGGGCGATGAAATTCACCATGTTTATTCTCGGTACGTTAAGGATCAATGTCATTTAAAGCTCGTTTCGAAAACAGGGTGGCCCAGAGTTAGGGGTGGTCCACCCACAGGTGTAGGTGTTGGAACGATGTTTCGTTACGTGGAACACATGTGATACGGTCCAAGGCATTGGAGTGACACAGTTTTGATGTCTTTTCCCCGCGTGGATAGCATTAAAATACGAAAATGTCGTTTCTTTTCTCTTCCAAAAGAAATGACATTTTCGTATTTTAATGCTATCCACGCGGGGAAAAGACATCAAAACTGTGTCACTCCAAAATGTCGTTTCTTTTCTTAGATATTTTCATAGATATGACGTTTTAAAATAGTGTCCCTTTAATTTTGTCCGTCAGTGTATAATAATAATTTTAATGTCAAAAATTCAAGCATCAAGTGTCCGTGAATTTATGAAACAACCTAGTATCTATTTGATTTGAATCAATCCAAAAACACTATCGCGAAAGAACTAAATAAAAACTCGTTTAAACGATTCATAACGTTTTGCTGTATAATAGTCTGGTCTATATAAAAAATTAAAGTTTGAAAAAATCTCCACTATTCGCTACACAACCCGATATCACAGGACCCTGACTTTGATTGAAATTTATTTTCTGTTCTTGCCTCGAATTGCCCGATTATCTTCCCGTTAAATGGCTCGCGCTGTGCAATAATCGAAACGTTCCCGCAGACGTAGTCTCGGCTCGAAAAGAGATTCGTCGTTTTCCGTTCGCAGACAGCAGCACGGAACTGTACACGGACAGTACCGGGATAGACCTCGAGCATTTCATCGCGGAGACCATAAACCGCAATCCGAAGGATCGCACGGTGCTGTTGAAGATCGAGAAAGACCTGATCGAGTTCGCGAGGGACAAGCAGAAGGTCTGCCACAAGTTCCCGAACATGTCCTCGTATAATCGGATGTTGGTTCACCGCGTGGCCGCTTACTTCGGCATGGAGCACAACGTCGATCAGTCAGGCTCGAGCGTGATAGTCACCAGGACGAAGAATATGCGAATTCCGAACACCCGTTTCAAAGAGCACATCCGAGACGACTTGATCCTGTCTGAGGAGCCGCGCAGGAGCATCCTGAAGCGGGACTCGAGCTCGTTCGAAGACAGCTTCCACTTCAAGTCGCCCGACAGACTGTCCGGGGATTACTGTCGGCAGAGCAAGAGTTACGAGGAAAGGGAGGAGGAGTACGAACGCGTCAGACGAAGAATATTCAAGGACAGCAGGGGTGAGAGCAGCGAGATCGCATCCTGGCCGTACTGGTCGTCTTCGGAGAGCTTCGACGCGTCCGCGAGATACCGTTTGTTGCATCCATCGGACCACGCGATTAGGTGAATCAATTTTCAGCATCGAACGTCGCGTACATAGATTCCTCGCGAGGACCAAGTTGATATCATTGTCTATGTAACAGGCAAACGAAGCTCTTGAAAGGGGAGTCTTTCGATGGGAGGGAGTCGTGTCGGAGCGGAGTATTGAGACCATCGGTTTCCAAGTCCTTCAGCTTCGGTGGTTACACCAGAGGCATGCTTTCCAGGGGGGACAGCGTCATGTCCACCCACAGTGCTGGACCTCGTCTCATGAAGCAAGGTGCGCCTCTAATTCCTTAGCTATCCTGCGTTCACGACAAGTTGCCGAGCCAAGGACACGGTTCTCACTCTGTTCTACCTCTCCTGACACCATGCGCTGTATCGTCATTAGCTGCGGCCGGTGACAAGAGAACTTGTTGTGAACGCACTATATTCGGATTTGTCGTTGTGTTCAGTGATGGGCAAAATCGTAATCGCAAATACGAATACAATTGTAATCGAATCTCTTCGAGTTGTGATTACGATTACGATTACGTTTTCAGCCATAGAAATTGTTTACCTCAAAACCGACATCAGCTTCGTGTTCCTCACATTAGAAAACTTAGAAAACCATGCTTTCGTCAAAATAAAATTTTTTTTTAAAAGTTACCCTATCTAGGCTCTGCTCCATGAGCACGAATTTTAATTGAAAATTTTTTATTTTTTATTTCGACGAATTTATGGTTTTTTAAGTTTTTTGGGGTGGGAAAAACACGAATCTGAAGTCGGTTTTGAGGTAAAGAATTTCAATGGCTGTAAACCTTTAAAAATACGGTTATAATCGTATTCGTAATCACAACTAGGAAAGATGCGATTACAATCGTAATCGTAATCACAACTCGAAGACATTCGATTACTGAAGTCGGTTTTGAGGTAAAGAATTTCAATGGCTGTAAACCTTTAAAAATACGGTCGTCGTCGTATTCGTAATTACAACTCGGAAAGATGCGATTACGATTACGATTGTAATCGTATTCGTAAGAAATTGAAAGGAACGTCAGTTTTTTTCTGTAAGGCAAAAACTTGTCGTCTTCGAGTAGCCAAGTATTTTGGAGAATGTCTCGAGAAATGTAGGAGAAAATGTTCGGATCAGATGTTTATAAATAGTTCCGTCTAGCAGAGGAAAGGAAAGTAGAGGTGACAGCATATCAATAAAATTGGAATGGATCGATAAGCCTGTCTTCCTGTTGAACATCGTGATTGTTTTAGCGTATTAATATTTCACAAGTATTTTTTCTTTTTTATATTGGCCCATTTTTATATTTAGTTAAATTATTTTATATTTCATTCGAAGAGGTATAAATATACATTTTCAATGAAACTCGAGAGGAACACCAAAAAGACTTTGTTAGAGGATATGCTGTTGTGTTCGTAGCCTTAGCTGTTCTTTTCCGCTCGGAATGGGGTACATGCAATAAGAAAGAGAACAAGTAGGTGAGTTTCTGTTCATCTATGATTTCTTAAGGGTCGATTTCAGATACCAACACCTCGAACAAACGCCTTAAGAGAATCATAGTTACCTGTGGGATTAACCCTTTGGCTGCGGGACGATTTTTGCTAGAAATTCTAAGAGGCGTACAATTGTGAATTTAACAAAAATATCAGCCTGTAGAGAATGACAAAACGAAACTTTTTTTATCTGTATAGTTTATTCAAAAGACATTTAGTTTCAGAATGAAAAATTGAAAACTTGAAAGATCTTTCGCCTGAGATCTCGTAGTGGTCTGATCTGTTGCTGTTGTTTTGTAAAAAAGAAAAACACCAGTCGAACAATCGAGTTTGAAAAAAATATCACCTCATAGAGAATGACAAAACGAAACTTTTTTCATATGTGCAATTTATTCAAAGGACGTTTAGTTTTAGAGATAAAAATTGAAAACTTAGAAGACCTTTTTCTTGAAATTCAATTTTTGCTTGAACTTCCGACTTCTCAATTTTTATTTTCGAAACTACACATCCTATCAACAAAGTATACATATAAAAAAGTTTCATCTCCCCATCCGCTACAAGCTGATATTTTTAAAAACTTGATGCAACGAAAATAAAAATTTCTCTGAGCCCATTTCTCAAGGACGTATGCATATACGCCCTTCGCAGTCAAAGGGTTACTGGTGCCGCGGTAAGACACTGCATGCCATTAGTTTGCGTGTTCACCGTGCATTGAAACGACAGCGGAGCCCAACCCAGTTCTATTCCTACCATGCTAATTCAATTGAAATCAATGGGGGGCCACTGTTGACCTCTCCTTGGAAAGATGAAAGAAAGCACGTCTATTAATTGTACGTTAAATCTCTGTTACAGACTCGGGTGCTAGCATGTGTTCGCGACTGAGCCCTTCGAGTAGCGGGTACAAATCGCAGAGCCAGCGGAGCGACGCCACGATATCGCCGTCTCCGTCGCCATCGCCCGTGGCGAACATGACGTGCAGTCACACGCAAGTATCTAGTCAGGATCTCGCCTCGCCGGATTCAAGTAACCAAACGGTGATGTGGGCGGTCACCAGTATATCTAGCGTGCCACCCGGTAGCATAATCATAAATCCGCAAACGAATCAGCCGTACACTAATCCAGACGGTTCGATCTACCGTTTCGACCCGGAGAATCCACCGAAATTTTATACCGCCGCTACGTCGTCGCACGAAAACGAGGGAAGTCACATCTCTCATGTGAAAGCCACTGCGGAGCCATCCGAGCCATCCAAAGTAACGAATAATATTAAGAACGAAGGGAAAAAGAAGCCGCAGTCCAACAGAAACTGTGCCGGGAACGCAACTACGGTCACGCACGTGACCAACACCGCGACTTCGCCGAGTTTGCCATTCACGCCACCCCCGCAGCACAATCCCGGGCTGCCTCAGCAACAACAGCTGCAACAACAGCAGCAGCAGCAGCAGCAGCAGCATCATCATCATCATCAACACCAGCAGCAACAAAATCTAGTCAAATCGTCGTCGACGGTGCAAACTTGTAATCACAACCAAACAGCTCAACCGTACACCGCTTACATACCTACCTCAGAACCGTACAACCAAGGTGTCTACCCACCCTCTGTGGGACAGCAAACTGTGATGATGGCTCCTCATCCGAGCCAGGCTCAGGCGAATGTACAGAATAATGGTCAAGGGGATGTGTTTAATCAGAATTCGATTTACGCGAATTATGCAGTACCTGTGCAGCAAGGACCAGTGTCGCAGACAACGGTAAACAATGTTTGCTCTTCTTTAAAAGGATCAAGGGAATAGGCTTGTCAAGATTATCGTTACGCCACTGTTTTACAGTTTTGTTTTCCTTTCACACTAACCCTTTGCACTCAATGGGTGACTCTCACAAGGGAAGGCTCAGAAGTGATACTCACCGATTGCAATGAAACTTGGTAGAGTGATAGATCTATATCTAAAATAAGCATAACTGTAATATTAGCCGCAGATGGCCAGCCATTTTTAAGAAAAGTTAGTTTAAATATGTAGTAAAAGCCCATGCTAGCCACTATGCCGCTGACCTATACTTCTTGAAGTTGTATTAGCAACAGGAATGCATCCCGCTATGGGCTTTTATATAGATCTATCACTCTACCAAATTTTATTGCAATCGGTGAGTATCATTTCTGAGCCTTCCCTTGTCAGTCATCATTAGGTTTCACGCAGCAAATCTACAATACCTAATGTTTCTTTAGGTTTAATTTCTTTAGAGCTCGAAGTGTCAATAAAATCATGAATAAAATGGCGATGAGGTAAAGGTGACCTTATTTCTCAAATCTAGATAGCTTAGAATTCATGGCAATAAAATGGTAAGAAAGCATCTCGAGTTGCTGGCAGATACCAGAAAAACATGCAGGATTTATGCGCTAATTTAGTCCTTAAAGTTCATGTCTTAATTCTGCCCTAGTCTCATCCTATAATTGAGAAGAGTATGAATAATCTTCATCGATTTAGTTTTGGCCAGTTGAATTTCATTTTATGGTACAGATATTAGCTGTGCTTTTTCTTATCTCTTTAGAACAAAATTTTCTTACACATTTCGTTGTTATAACTAATTTTTCATACTCTTCTCGGATTATCGTATTAATTTCATTTTAGGAAGTTTCAATTTTGTTTCTAACTTTTTCCTATAATTCTTCAATTCTTTGTCTTTCATTTGCACACAAGTTTTGTCTTATATTCGTTTTTTTAAAGCTGATTACACCTGAGAAAGATTGTATAATTTCATGGTAGAAGCATTAGTAGCATTAGTAAATAATCAACTTTACCATCTTGCTCGATAAATCTAATACGTTAGGTGATAATGCTGTCTGATTTAGGAAATAACCGAACTGTCTGGGTATTTTATGGGCATGAGTATTTACGATCAACGAGTAAACGGTGAAAATCATTCTACGCCACCGCATTCTTATCCGCAACCGCAGCCGTCTACCAACCAAGCGGTGCAAAGTGTGCAGTCAATGCCGCAGAATTACTGGCAACCGCCACCCAACTCTATGCCGGTATGAGATGTTTTTATTATATTAAATCAGTTAACTTCGTTACTATTATTATTATTATTATTATTATTATTATTATTATTATTATTATTATTTAATTTTAGCCACAACAAACAATGTACTTTGTACCTCCGCCTGGTACAACACTTTCGGTCAGTCAGGGTCCAGGTGATAGGCAGCAGTTGCATCAGCAACAAAGATTCTCGACGAATTATTCTTTTAACGCGCAAACTATGACTCCTCCGAGCCAATCGAATTGTAAGTCAAATTTTTCTACACTTTTGAAAAGAATAACCCTCTTATAACGCGGTTAATTCGTCCACGCTATATGGAAACCGAGTTATAAGAAACTCGAAATTAGTATGAAATATAGTAATTCGAAACCACGTTATAGGAGGGTTTCGAGTTACGTCTCCAGTGATTTAAGAGTTCTAGGATGTTGGGTAGAGGATTTTTAAAATAAAACAGCTGTAATTCCCTTTGATCATACGTTTATTAGTTAAAGAATAAAAAAGTTATTAACACTAAACCTACCACGATCGGTCAAATAACCGTTTTCAAACTTTTGTGCACAGTTCTTACATCCAATATACAGTGGGTGTAAAAAGTATTGGCACATCAATCAATTTCCAAAAAGAACTATGTAAAATTGTAATTTATTAACTTATTTTTGATAAACAATTGTCCTTCGTGTTAGATCTTAATTGTTCTGCACTGCTCTAGACAAGAGACGTTCCGTTTTTTACTACTTTAATCTAACATGTTTTCATTTACAAAGGCTATTTTTAACATAAGAAAACATAGTTTTGTCACGCCGGAGGTGACTTGATAGTGCACAGAGTCAAAGTAACGCCTCAATTAGACATTGTTTTGTTTGTGATTTATTTTTTAGTAAACATTATGAATAAAATAAATAAACTTCATGCGTTTGTTAAATATACTCGATATTTGAAGATAATATGTACATTACTATGTCCTTCATCTTAGATAGAGTTACAAAGCGATGAAATAGAAAGTGTCCAAATATTATAGTCGCTAACTTTATATTATTTCTATTTCAGCCAATTATGTGGGTAGCTACCCAGTTCCCTATAATTCCGTTCCCGCCGTGACACCGGCACCAAACGATTACACGTATCAACCACCGGTTCACATGGTCCCCACTTATTATCCGCCAGGGCAAACGACGATTCAACCACCTCCTGTCATGTATAGAGTACCAACGCCACCGAACACTCCGACTTCCAGCCAGGTATCTAATCGTGTGCTTGTAATCGCTTACAAATAGAAACCTTAAACTGTAATCTGAGTAAATCTTTGTCTAAATTTGTTGAATACATCTACAGTGAGTATAGAATGTATTCGTACGCCGATAAATTTCCAAAAAAACTATGTGAAATTGTAATTTATTAACTTTTTTTTTTATAATCAATGATATTTTATATACTCTTGGAAATATCTAGAATGGATACAGTACAAAAAAAAAACAGTTCTTTTATATAAGTAAGAAATCAACAAAAAACAAGAAATCGATAGAAATACAGAAGCAATAAGTATTCGTACAAGTGTTAGATTTTTAAAACTTTGTTTAAAAAAAAAAAACGATATTTACATTAATTTATAAATAATTAATACTTTGTGGGATTTCCTTTTGATTTTATAATTACTGCAACTTTTCTAGGCATTAAATTAACTATCATAAAGGTCGATGTTATTTGGGGTGAATCTTTATGCAAAATAAAATCTTGACGAACGTGCCTACAAAAATAGAACCTAAATAGGAATTTATTTTATTCTGCAAATATTACAACATGAACTTTACTTTCAATCTTTTTCATGTTCTTGCATATTGTTTGCATCTTGTAGTTTCTCGCACATTCAGATTTCCTATAAATGCATAAAGATTCAGAGTCAAATCATAAGTAAAATATCGACGCAGTGTGACCACGTCAAATAAAATAGAAAAATAGAAAATAAAATAATAGGAAATAAACGAAAGCTGAACGGGTTAAGAGATTCATAGTTGCTCCCATCTCCTTGTTAAGAGTATGTAGATATTGCTAGAAACTGGGACCGTTCAATTCGCAGATGCCTGGGATGCCATTGATGTACGTCAATTCCGGAAGTTACCCACCGCCAACGATGGTGTCTAACGGAACATTTGGCCACCAAGTCGGACACAATGGCACATCTCCTGCGCCTCCTGGAACGTACATGACTCCCGCGCTGGTTCCCAACCTCGTTTTCAGACAAAACGTTCCTGTAAGAATCAAGACAGCTATGTTAAAACCTTTTAATGCCGGAGGCTGATATATTGGACCGGACCTTGTAGCACTTTACTATTCGCATTGCGAGAGAATACGTTTTTTCACAGAAAAATTAATGTCATTGTTTTATTCTCTATTTTGTCCTTAATACACTGCTTTTTGAATTATGTATGTTTGAATATTTGGGGTTTTGGTAAAAAGTAAATTCACTAATTTACACTTTTAACAAAAACAGAAGTAAACTTTATTAAAATGAAAAAAGAAAAATTATAATCTGCGCTGTTTTAGTTTCTTCACGCATCGTGCTTCCTTAAGCTTACATTTTCACATAGACAAAAAAACAAAAGATGAAAAATAACGGTCACTCATGCTACCATGTTCGGATACAGATAGCGTCCAATGTAAATGTACTTATCTTAACAATGTAAATATTGCTTTTTGTTTGGTTTTTATGAGCCTTTTTCCAAACCCTAGTTATTATCTCATAGGCACCTCTTTCTCACCGGGCACTAAAAGAGTTAAATAAAAACTTGTACTATCAAGGTTACTGAAGGTCACTTCATTTCTCCGTTTAAAAAACATAGCGCCAACTCTAGGCACATGTTTTGTCTTTCAGACAGACTAGTCGATGTAATGCGATAATAAAAGACTTGTTCGGCGCGAGGAAGTGGCCTTGAGCGATCAAATCATTTTACCTATCAATAAAGTGTCTTTTACTTGTATCATAGGTCGTTACTGGCGTTCGAGCTTCAACACCAGGTAATTCTCAAAGGACTAGCAGGTCGCCGACTCCAGCACACGAGCTCTTCGGAAGTGGAAACGGAGACAGAAACGCACAACCCCAACCGCGGTACCCACTGCCAATGTATCAGGGTGTCCATATCGTACAAGGTGCGTAGGATTTATCTTTGTTGGAATGCAACGATTGCCACTTTAAAGCCTTGGGGAAAAGGGTCTGTTTTTCCTTAAAGCAGAAAGAGAAGCGGGGTCCTAGCAGGGACAGAAAGCGACGAACCTCAGTCCGAAAGAATAAGTCAGCCAGTACGTGTCGTTTAGTTTCGAACATTCTTCCTTTGCATTTTACATTATAATCGTTGCAACTATTACTATATCGTACTGGTTCGCGGATACACTGCGTGTATTGTTTCTAAAGTGAATGAATCACTAAAGTAAACAGTGTGTTGTAATTAGACTACGGATCTTTATGCGAAATAATATCTTCACGAACGTGCCTCTAAAAATTGAACTTAAATAGGAATTAATTTTATTCTCCAAACATTATAACATGAACTTTACTCTCAATATTTTTCATATTCTTACATATTGCTTGCATTTTGTAGTTTCTTGCACATTGAAATTTCCTATAAATGCATAAAGATCCGCAGTCTAGTTATAATAAAGTATTCTATTCCTTTATTCAACCTTTAGAAGAAAATAAATTTCTAAAAATCTTATTCCATTAACGAGAAGAACTTGTCAGTGTCGAATGCTCTGTCTCGCAGGGGATATGAGATTGATGCATCCCGGAGTACCAGCTAATCCGCGGTTGCAGTATGCGCCAGTATCATCACCACCTGTTGTTCAAAGTTGTCCACGACCGTACCGACCACCTTCATACTCGTCGAACACCTCAGGCGCCGGCACTCCCACCTCGTTCGATGGGAGAAATCAGAAAATTCGTAAACAGAGGTATTTTCATAAGCTTATTATCTTTTGTTTTGAACGTATCGCTTTAGCAATTAGATCGGGGACAAAAGTAGCAAATTCAAGTATTTTTCTAATTTCTAATCATTCTTCGTCTAATTCTAATCATTCCTCGTCATGGGTAACTTAATATACTCGCTATTGGGTCGTTACAAAAGTTCGTAGCCTTTTTTACCTGTCAACTTAACGCTAAAAACAGGATTTTTTTCAAATGTTCACTATTCTTATAAAAATTGATATTTTAAACAATGTATACGTACTTCCATGGTATACAGGGTGTTCCACGCAACTGGAACAGACTGTACCTCCTAAAAGGTTGGGAGTAGACAAAGATGTTATAAGTGAAAGTTAAATGGTATTTGATAATGCATAACATGCAACTAATTTTATGCACTTTTGTGTATCAGTGCATCCAAAAAATGCAACTGCGCTTTCGTTTTAAATGGAAACCTATACTTTTGACGACACAGATTGATGCAGTTTCTTGTACTCTACATAAAATAACTTCCTAACGAACAAGTTTAGGGCATAAGTACATTTTATATATATATATATATATATATATATATATATATATATATATATATTTATATTTATATTTCGATTCTTTTAAATAAAATAACAATGTTGGTATCATTGTACGACAAATTTTTTTCAAACAACTCTTTAACCATATACATATAAATGTACATATATGTATACAATATATACAAAATGTTCAGGCTATTACTAGCCAGCATTTTTTTTTGTAAATCGTTAATATTAGAAAAAAATGGAAGAGGGAAAAGTAGTATTGTTTTTTATACACAACAAACTGACAAATGAATTTTTTTTATATCATATGAAAGCGTGTGTCAAGAAGAATTCATCCATATACTACAGTCTACACAATGACGTATTGTGTATATATATTGTTGAATATAGCCATGATTTTCTCGCATCCCGGGTGGCTTGTCCCTTCAAAAGACGATACCAGCATTAGTTCCAACTTGATAAATAAATCGAAAAGCTTTCGTGCAACCGCATGTATCCTAGTTTTCACAGTCCCCTTTGGTTCACAGTTTTTAATAAAAATATAGAAACAGAATATACAATAGTAACGTAAGTTTCCTGTTTTTATTAGGTCCAAAGTGGCACCATTGCCACTGAGTGGCACGCGGCCCAATCTTTATCAGGCTCCTTCCATGCCGTCGTTCTCGTCCAACGTGCCCAAAGATCTCAGAGAAGGTAAGAATCGATATCGACAAGTATCAGACCCTAGTTAGATGTTCGGCTCGTTCGGTACGTCTCTGCTTGAAAGCTCTGTTTACTTCCAACTTTTTGTTCCGCTTACGAAGAACGAAAATTATGACACAACCTTTTGACACGTTCTTGTGTATCTCCTTAAAAGCAAAACCTGTGGAAGACAATATGATATAAGGTACAGAATTTCATCAGTATAAAATACTACAATGAACACGGTATCCACATCGTTAACATAGGCGCTTCTTTCACACTCGTTCATTTTGTTTTAACGACGTTTTAAACGACGACACTTGTGGTTCTCTAAGCATACAAATTAAAACACTCTCGGCTCGTAGTTTTGGTCTTCCTTGGCGGTAAGAAGAGGAAATACTCTACAAGTTTGTGACAACTAACTGCTACTAATTACAATCCAAAGTTCAAACAACAGAAACTGTAATCTATTTTCATATTTCATCTATCAATTGACATGCACATATATATGTTCGTCTTTTTCCATTTTCTATATTTATTTACATATAATTTTTACAAAAGCGTTTGTTATCATCGAAGCAAACCACAATTATACGTCGAAAACGTCTGAATAAATTTTACGCTTCGAGAACTATAAACAACAAAGCAACGCTTAGAATTATTATTTATAAATATTTATCGTTCACGTGGAATTGTGCCTGAAAAAATTACTTCATATTCAAGTGTGCTCCGGTTGATGTTTAAAGCAATTTGTTTTGGTATTGAAAATATAATTATCGAGAATAGGAAGCATAAGTTTTCAGAGCATGTTCGATTACAGTGCACCGTTCGCTTACACGTTCACGCACACAGGTGATATTATTACGCAGACATGTCTCAAATTAGTTGCAATGAATGTCTTTGTCGCACAATAATAGATTTTTCTTTCTCCTTTTCGATGAAAGTTTTCTAGTTTTGTGCTTCATGTCGCACGATAAACAGTATCGCGAGATAAAAAAAAAGGTACTGTCTCGCGTCGTCGATCGACAAGTCGCACAGTGCGGACAAACAGCAAAATTGTGGACAAAAATCAAAATTTCATTACTAATGTAAATATATCGCTATTTATTCACAACAAAAATTAAAATTAACCATAAACATTAATAAATTCACAACGAAATCAAGAAATTTAACAATAAATTAACAAACCCCGATTTTGATAAAACTTTGTATACTTGTTTGTGGGACCTTCCTGTGAATTACACCATCTTCAGTACGTGCGACTTTTGTGTTTTGAGGGAGAAATTAACCCTTTTGTCCGAGCCGCTCCTTTTACGTTTGCTCGGAAACGATTAGAGATATCAAAAAAATGTTAATGTAAACATTACACTGTTTTTAGAGACCTATAAACCAATACCAACAAATTAAAAAAAAAAAAACAAATTTTTTGTTCAAATTACCCTCTCTTCCTCGAAATTTTTGATTTTTTTCTGGATCAGTAAAAGCGTTTTTTATTCTGAATCCACCGGCATGTATGAGTTTATAATGATCTTACAGGGAAATGATGTAATATTGTAAAATTGTCGCCTTAGTAGTCCATATTTCGAATTCTTTAGGAATTTTTTTCTCACAAATAATAGAAGTTGCACCCATATATTATTTAACAAAATATGCTTCGTTTCGACCGAGGACGTGAAAAATAATTTTTATAGAAATCCATAAATCAATTAAATCAGAATTTTTAATTTCCAATTGTGACCCTACACCAACAGTACGGTCCCTTATTAAAAATTATGTAAAACCAAACGTTGCAAGTATTTGCAAAAAAAAACTTATAAGTTTCTTAAAATATAACAAATAATGTATCCAAATATGTTGAGAACTCAGGATATTTTTTGCCGTTTTGTCTCTATGTTTATTTAAAGATAAAGATTATATTATAGATACAAATGATTTATTCGTGATTATTTATAACAATTTTCACGCTGACACACATTTTCTACGATAGAAATCTGCCTCGCATTGCGATATACATATACTAATATTGAATTTTGTCCACTTATGCCGCACTGTGAGTCGACGCGTTTTTCTGTTTATTTCAGCGACGATTACCACTATTATACACGGTTTGCAAATTTTTCGTGGCTCCGCTCCGCAACGAAGTACGCTTTAAATCTGCCGGTTATCGGCGTGTCTCGATAACAGCCGTTTACCACAAATCGGATCTGCACAAACAGCAACTCACTCGCATTGTATCGCGTAGCACGAAACGAAAACAGGAATCTCTGCTCTGAGAACTAATTTTTCATCTTCCAGGGACCGTGAAGGTGACAATCACCCGTCGAAATCAACTGGTACAATATTAGGTAGCTGGGCCATTCGGAAGAGGACAGCGCTAAACACGATAAAAACGAAAAGACAATTAACCGTTACAGCTAATTAAAAAAATTAAAAAGAAACAAAACGGAACCGAACGTTAAATTCGCGGTTCGCCGATATACACACGATTCTTACTAATTAATATTAACCGTACCTTTAATTATCTAAGAGGGTAAAAAGCACACACCGCCAGAGTATAAATAATCGGTCGAGTCACGAATCGAAGAAAAACGAACAACACGAACGGAGCAACATAAGATAACAAAAAGATTTAAAACGAAAAATACAGGTAAAAAAAAATGTTACATCCCTTTTGATAAAAAAAAAACGCGGAGTTCGAGAATGATTAAGCCCAAATAAATGTCACGTGTGATCGATTAATTACAACTTGAGCCGCCGCATATCGCTGCGATTCATCGGAAAGAGAAATACTAGAACAGAGGAATATGCATATATGCGTGCGCGCGTGTGTGTGTAGAAAAAAAAATAAAAAGGATAACGAATGCGTTATTTTTTTTTTATTTTTTTTTTATTTTTGTTGGCGTTGGGCATGATAGACACACGATGCTACACCGAACAGAGAGTTACTGAACAGAATTTTACCTATTACAATTATTATATATATTATATATATACAGTATATTATATCTGGAGATATTTTAATCGCGGTTTTACAGATAACTATATGAATGTGAGATTTAATTGTAAGAAAAAAGGTAATTTTAAAATGAACACATAAAAACACAAACACACACAGTTACACAGGGATTATCCGAAACGGTTCTCGTAACAGTCTACGAGGAAATCTATATATAATTAAAATAATAATAATAATTAATGTACGAGTATTATAATGTACATGTTACTGAGTACGTTTACAACTTGTTGAACCAATCAAATCTATTGGATTGGATCTGCATTCATTCAGGATTGATCATTGCTCACTGATTCTTCTGCGAACTGCCACCAAAGAGTTGTTTTAATCTTAATGAGAAAAATAAGAATACAAATAAAAAATGAAAAAAAAAAATTGCTGCCAGTTATGATTAGCGGCATCAAATTGTTTGTTACCTCAATTTTGATATCGAAAACGTTTACAAGGGTTACGAACTCGTTACCACGTGACAGCTTCTGATTCTTTTCGTCTAACAATCAGAGCACATACTCTTTCAGATATTTTTAATCAAACGTTTAGCGGCGTTCGTAACGCTATTCACTGGATCGGATAATTTCACGAGCCGTTGCGTTCGTTTATATTTGATATGCGTGTAAACGTACAGTGAGTGGAGAAAGTATTCGTACACCGATCAATTTCAAAAAAAGTTTGTAGAATTGTAATTTATTAACTTATTTTTTATAAGTAATGACATTCTACATATTCTCGGAAATCTCTAGAATAGATAGATTACAAAAAAAATAGCTATTTATGTAAGTTGCGAAATTAACGAGAAAGAAAACGATTAATCGATAGAAATATTGAAGCAATAAATATTTGTACAATTGTTTAATTCTTAAAACTTGATTTAAAAGAAAAGAAGATTTACATTAATTTATAAATAATTAATACTTCTTTCGTGGGATTTCCTTTTGATTTTATAATTATTGTAACTTTTTTAAGCATTAAATTAAGCATTCCTCTATTAGAACTTTTTTTTAAAGTACTTTACTGGAAATTTCATGTTTCTTAATTCGTACGAAGCAATAAACTAACGTGTTTACTTTACAAACCCTACTGTAAATGGTTCGTCATATGAATCGTACAAATACTTATTGCTTCTATACTTTTACCCACTTTTCGCATTTTTTTGTTAACTTCACAAATTATATTAACTAGTAAATGTTGTTTGGACTATATCTATCTTATAGACCTCCGAGAATATGTAAAATATCATTGATCATAAAAAAGTAAATTAAGAAACTACAATTTCACATAAAAGTTTTTTGGGAAATTAATCGGTGTACGCATACATTTTACACCCACTGTATGTCTTGGTGTTAACCCTTTGCACTCGGAGGTCCCCTATGAGGGGACATCGTAAGTCTAGCAAATTTTGCTAGTGGTTATGTAGAATAAATTTATACTAGGGCAAATTTGTTCAAAATGCATGTTTCCTTGAAGTTTTCTCATTCAAATACCACGAGAAAACAAACTTAATTTTGATAAATTAAATTTGTTCGTATTGTAAGAGGAACATTTTCCAATAGTTAAGTACAATAATCAAATACATGCGTACTCGACAAATTTTCAAACTTATTTACACGATAAATATTATTAATCCACAGAGTGGTGGTAATGTTTCGTTTCCTTATTTCATTATTTTGTTTAATTCGAAAAGTAGGCCATGTCCAAAGTGAATTCTTTTTACGTTATTTTGATCTGAAAAACATTGATTGTCCTGCTGAAATTCTCTTCAACGATTAATGGAAGACTGAATCTAAAGAATCGATGGATTGCACGTATCCTTGCATTGCAAAGTCTCGCGAAACGACCCGATACATTAGCTTTCGACGGCTAAACGTTTCATGGAACAAGGATACAAATTCGTGTTTCTTCTTTTCTGTTGTCGGTATCGTGTTGCATCGACCTCTGATCTTCGACGATCGCTTTGGTACAAGTTAATGTCGCTCGAGTGAATCTGTAAACGTATTCAGTACAGTTCTATGTATCTAGTTCGACACAGTAGTTAAGTAGCGCGAAACCATCACAGCTTAGCTATCACGACAGAAACCTGCCTGGCCATGTTTTTTTTTTCGATATCGTTTCTTTTCGTTACGTCTTTGTTTCGTCCGTACAGAGGAGAAGTCGACGTTGACGATTTAACCGAGACGAAAGGCAACCTTGCGCGACGAGTTTATTTCGAAAATAGTATGTAACATAACGTGACAACAGATCTCACACACGATGTAACTATGATTCGTCTTCCAAAGCTTATCACGGCACGCTTCTTGTATCCTACAGATGTCCGAGTTACGCGAACAGAGACACTCCTCGAGAGCCCGATTCTATCGAAAGAAGCAGTACGTGTGTATATCAGTTCGTCGGCAGTGATGGTAACGCGTGATCGTCGTAATTAAAAATAATGTCTCCGTCTGTGAAAAAAAAAAAAATAAAATATTATAACAAATTTGCGAATCAACGTAGACCTTTAACGCGTCGCGGAAGAGTCGTCGCGGTCGTTCGTTAACCCGATCTCGAATCCAGCGTTAAAAGATTCGAATTTTGGTTCGCCGTATCCGAGCGACGGCTCTGCGGACCGGAAAGCGCGCGTTGCTTCGCATGAAAAACCAAGTGGAATCCATCCAGAAGCTTCGCTTACGGTGAATTGTACTTCAGGACGTAGGTGAAGGTGTGCCTATCTTTTTATGAGAGTTCGATTTGAACAAAGATCGCGTGTCGCGAGCTTTTATTCTACTCTATGAAACAAGCGACGAAAGAGAGGCACTACTTTCTTCTTAAGAAAGCGTGATAAATTTTAATTAAAAAGAAAAAAAAGAAACACATATATACATACACACAAACACACATACATACATAAACACAAGTCGTAGGTTTAAGCGCGAAGAAAACGAGAGCGACCTGAGCAGTTACGTTAGGCAAATTTAACGCTATCCGACGTTTCGATTATAAAGAGATGGGCGCACAACCGTAGTGTTTAACTGTACCTAAAGTCGTCGTAGTGATTAATCATGATAATTGTACCTATAACGAAAACAAAGAAAACAGTTCATGAATCTCTCTGAGACATAATTAACAAGAAAGAAACGAGAACAGAGAAACGAATCATGATTATCGGCTATCGTGGGGAACCGCCTGTAAGCGTCGTCCTATGTAACGTACTATCGTCCTATCGTACTATCGTACATAGAATGTCCCGATAATAGGTTTTAGTTCTCGCGAAATGTTCCAAGCGACAAGCGAACCGCAAATGTAGAAAGATACCAATTCTACGAAGCCATTTTTATCGAGACACTCGATTTGAAAATGTGCAAAGGCAGCTACGCGATATCTACGAAGTGGAAAACAGTCAAATGCGTACTCTAAATGTTTATTTTTTTCAAATCGAAGGCTCGCACGAAAATCCTTCATTCTGCGTTTTCCATGTAATTTTGCACGAGAAATCACCTGCCTCAAGGTTTCACTCGAGGATGAGCAAAATTGTCTAAATATGCATCGGAGACAGTTTTTTTAGTTCGTAAAATATCATAGATCAGATGAAGAATGAATCATGGCTTAAATGTTGCAACATATTTCGAAAAACGAGTTATATCGTCAAAATCACGATTCTTGATTTGAAGAGGTGCAACTAGCGTGTAACCATTTATTTAATTATATAATGCGAAACGTTTCATTCTGCGAATTAGAGTGGGTGGAGAAAGTATCCGTACACATCAATTTCCAAAAAAAGTTTGTAGAATTGTAATTTATTAACTTATTTTTTATAAGCAATGACATTCTACATATTCTCGGAAATCTCTAGAATAGATAGATTACAAAAAAAATAGCTATTTATGTAAGTTGCGAAATTAACGAGAAAGAAAACAATTAATCGATAGAAATATTGAAGCAATAAGTATTTGTACAATTGTTTAATTCTTAAAACTTGATTTAAAAGAAAAACGATATACATTAATTTATAAATAATTAATACTTCTTTCGTGGGATTTCCTTTTGATTTTATAATTATTGTAACTCTTCTAAGCATTAAATTAACTAAATTATTAGTTGTATATTATTATAGAAGTGGAATCTTCTTCAATTCCTCTATTAGAGCCATATTTAAATGTACTTTACTGGAAATTTCATGTTTTCTAATTCGTACGGAGCAATAAACTAATGTGTTTACGTTACAAACTCTACTGTAAATGGTTCGTCATAAGTAGACTGCGGATCTTTATGCATTTATAGAAAATTTGAACGTGCAAGAACCTACAAAATGCAAGGAATATGCAAGAATATTAAAAAGATTGAAAGTATAAAGTTCATGTTATAACATTTGCAGAATAAAATAAATTCCTATTTAGGTTCAATTTTTGTAAAATTTTATTTCGCATAAAGATCCGCAGTCTAGTCATAAGTATCGTACAAATACTTATTGCTTCTATACCTTTACCCACTTTTCGCATTTTTTTGTTAACTTGACAAATTATATTGATTAGTAAATGTTGTTTGGACTATATTCATCTTGGAGACTTCCGAGAATATGTAAAATATCATTGATTATATAAAAAGAAGTTAAGAAACTACAATTTCACACAAAAGTTTTTTTGGAGGAGTTGATCGGTGTACGAATCATACATTTTACACCCACTGTAGATGATACTTTTTATTCGACAAGTAACGGATAAACAGTTTATTCTTGATCATTCGTTACTCGAAATGTATATCCAAGTAAGAATTTTGCCCATCTTTGGTTCTACTTTGAGTTGGTATCTCGCAGAAGCCCATATAATTTTAAGCGTTATTCGTTAGAGTGATTTTCAGTATTGTTTATTAACTCTCGTCGCAAAGATGAACAGAGGAATAACGGAGGAGTTAGGGGAAACCATGCGTACAAATGTAATATAATTTGCGAAATAGCGATGCTTGCAGACGGTTCGTTGCTCTTACGTCTTGTTACTAAAACAGCTGAACCAAAGTCATAATCGCCAATTGCACGGTCACGTTTATTTATTTATTCATTTCGCTCCGCGTGTACACTTTTATCGGATTCTCGATGCATCTGCCGCTTGACCGTCTCAAAGCCATTTATTATCTGATCATCGTAATAGCGACAAATTTATCTTTAGTCAAATTTATCTTTAGTTCAAAATAAGAAACGTACGATACTCTTCGATAAAAGAACAAGAAAAATATATTCTTTTATCGTAGGATATTACGGTTTTTTTGTTCTGAAAACATAAGCACATGGTGGAGAACGTAGCTTGTTAGAACGACACTAAATGCAGATATGAAATCTACGAAATTTATCGCTAAGCTCCAGGTTTCAAGATGGACTCTACTTTGAAGCAAATAACTTTATTGGCGCTGTTTCATCGATCCATTCTTAATCACCCTTATGCATGCGTCAATATTTGTATATACCAACGCTAATATACTTTAACGTTATCTGTTTATCGGCGTTTCTAATACAACTATTATAAATAATCCTTTTCTTTCGGGTAATAAAATGTAAGCTTGGAACTTGGCATGTGTAGTTATGCGAGCAATCCTTTTGTGTGTGATTTGTTATGATAGTCAAGGTAAGGAACGTAATTTGACTTTTGGGGTTCTTCCTTGTTACATTACTCAGGTTTATAGGACCCTTTTTAGAGAAATAAATTTTGTTTTCCATGAAAAGGACTCTACAAACGTGTGCAAAATTGTTGTATACTATTTATGGCCAATGAACAACGAGAATGTTCAAAAGTTAAATCTCTCATTTGATCTCGAATATTATCACAAACCATAAACGAGAGGATTGCTCTAGCAAACAAACAGATTTAAACATTTGTCTAATTGCGAGCAATGCAATCGCTTCTAATACAACTTATTCCAAGTTTAAGATATCTTACTCGAACAATTTTTTACCGACATATTTCTATTATAAACATGCTTCATAAATTAAAAGGAACCTGCAGAAATTATAATTGATACACTCCATGAATTTTCATTACAAAGTATTTCAGTTACGTCGTAATTCAGAAGTTTCGAATGTAACCCAATCAGAATTTGAAATTAAGAGGATTTTTAATTGTAATTTAGGGACCTTTATTTCAATTACATTGTCCTTCGGTTAGATTTCGTGATTAGTAATTGAACTAACTGAATAATTTGAATTGTGTAATTTAATTGCAACGTAATTAAAATACAATGTAATCAGATTCCAGTGTAATTCAGTGAACGCAATTGTGCCTGTAAATTATATTAGACGCGGTGGTAAACAGGTAACGTCGGTGGAAATCTGTGTAGGTCTATGGAAATGTTGACGACACGTACGGTCATCAAATGTTGTAAACGGTGTCAATGAAAACATTGTCAACGATTTAACCCTTTGGCCTACAACCACGAGTGAGACTCGTGGTAAGGAATTTGGTTCATAAACAATAAGCACGTGTCTGACTCGTGGTAATTCGTTCGGACTTTCTACCTTTCTGTTTAGTATGGCCCGAGGAATCGGGATGTTGTGTGTAGGTTAAGGGGTTAAAGTACACCTGGTTGCAGATGTTTAATTAAGCGGCAATCGCATCGAGCTTAGTCATCCGCATCAAGTTTAGTCGTCACAAGTAGGGGTGTGCGGGATTCTCGAAAATATCCGGGATTCCCGAGAATATCCGGGATTTCCGAAAATATCCCGGATTTCCGTAAAATGTCCGTGATTCCGTCAAATATCCGGGATTCCCGAAAATATTGGGGATTCTCGAGTTTATGCGGAATCCCGAGTTGATTCGAGATTCCCGAGAATACACGAGATCCCGCAAAAATCCGGTATTCCCGACAATGTACGAGATATAGAATAATATCTGGGATTTCCGAAAGTGTTGTTATTCTTGAAAATGTCAGCAATCCGAATGTACGGGGTTTCGAAATTCCCGGGAATCCCGAACATTTACGGGATCTCGAAATTCTCGGGAATACCGAATGGTTTCGGGATCCCGGAAACTCACGGGAATCCCGGATGTATTCGGGATTCTGAAATTCTCGGGATTCCATCCCGATCCCAGGAGGAATTCCCGTCCCGACCGGGATTCCGCACACCCCTAGCCACAAGTGATTTCGTAACTTGGCCTGAGCTATTCTAAACAAAGCGAGAGTAGAAAGAGGGAGAGAGGGTAGACGGAGAACGTCGAAGAAGTCGTCCACTTGCCGGATGATCCGCTCGAAGTACTATTAAACTAACTATCGAGGTGAACGGGTGATAAAGTGATTGTAAGTTTCGCAAGACCTCACGTTCGTTTCCTACTATTTTTGTATGCAACATAAAAGGAGATTGATGGTAGCGAGAGATAGAGAGAACATGCAGAATGAAGTGAATTTAGAAGAAAGCGAGGGGAGAAACTGTTATAGGAGAATGAGTAGTACGGGTGAAACTTTGATGCTTTTCGTTGGAAGTTCGCATCTTCCTGATCACCTTTCGTTGACTGTGCGCCGTCACGTCGAAGGCTCGTTAGCTTATAAGCGTAATCTTGAATTCATTCGACCCGCGGTTGTTTATTTCCCGGTGCCTGGTTTAACCGATCACCGTTAGGGAGTCGGCGCGACGCCGAAATGTTCGTCCACGCATGAAAATTTGAAATGTTATCCGAGCGACTTATCGTAGACGCGGGTACTTGCGAGAAATGGTTAAGGAATACGCGCCATTTTTATTTTATAATTTCTTTTGACTCTTCGTTACCCCACGAGTACAAAATAGGATCAACAAAACTTCCGACCTGCTTAACTTGGTTGCTTCGGGAAAACTGATGATGGTCTCATGGTAGATTCGTACTTTTTCCCTCCAAATCCAGAACCTTCTTCTCCTTCTCATATGGAGATGCTGCAAATTTCAAAAACACGTGGACCCATATCGATCATCGTGGTATAACCAAGAGTTAAGCGGTTTTTCATGAATTTTTTTAGGATGGAGAAAAATAATTAATTCTATCGAACCTTTTATCCTATTTTCATACATATTTGAGTAGTCTATGCAAATTTTTTCAACAAGAAATATTCAAATTGAGTCGACTGTGACATTCTTTTTCTATGTGAACTAAAAAAATTCATACAAAAAAAATGTTAAACAACTTTTTTATCAAGTTAAAATGATCTTTTTCACCCAAAGAACTCGTTCTTTTTTTCAAACTTGCAGTAATTTCACATTTCACCATTTTTGCGGGTTTTTCTTAGTTCACATAGAAAAAGAATGTATGGAAATGAAAATTTCTTTTGGTTTTTATGTGTCAAACCAAAATTACGACCTGCATCTTTTCCGCCATTAGGAGATTTTAATTGTGAGGTGCTTTACAAATGTGCGTCACAGTCGACTCAATTTGAATATTTCTTGTCGAAAAAATTTGCACAGACTACTCAAATATGTATGAAAATAGGATAAAAGGTTCGATAGAATTAATTATTTTTCTCCATCCTAAAAAAATTCATGAAAAACCGCTTAACTCTTGGTTATACCACGATGATCGATATGGGTCCACGTGTTTTTGAAATTTGCAGCATCTCCATATGAGAAGGAGAAGAAGGTTCTGGATTTGGAGGGAAAAAGTACGAATCTACCATGAGACCATCACAAATTCACGAAAACCTGCTTTTTTAGATCTCCTAATTCAGGATACTCCCTTAAATTTTACTTTGAGAAGCTTGGTCGAATTCCTCCTGGCATTTCTCGCATAGCGACTATCAAAATGTGCGTTAGACCAGAGATCGGTGACTTTACGTCTATGTTATCTTGCATTCTGTTCCATCCTTTTGTTAAAAGACTGTGCGGGACGCAGGAAACGGGTCGCAGTTCGTTCGTCGCCGATCTCTTTAGACGTTAGCTGGCGTAAACAATAGAGGTCTCGTTGTCGAATAGCGATGCATCTTGCCTACGGTGAATATGCTTCGAGCTAACGTCTCTTCCTCCACTTTCCTCGATCGAACGGGGAGACAAGTTTCGAGTTGGTTACACCGCACGCTTGCATTCTTTTTAGATCAGGCTTGATATTATTTTTTTTTTACTGTTTTTTTTTTCGTTGGACATATCATACGGTACAAGGACAAACGATGGCTGTGCCTTTATGCTTAACGCTATAGTTTAGAGCTTTTCTTTTTTTACTGAGATTCGTATGCAGGATGTGTTGAGCTTGCGACTTGTCCTCTGTCGATTATCAAGATGGAAACGAGAGTGGATCAAATGAACGTAATTTATATTTATTGAGTGAAGCGAAGAGGAGGTGTAGAAAACATATTCACTGTTCTTATTTTTTTTTTTCTTTTTTTTATGGCCCAAGCGCTAGTATGATGTTAACTCTTTGAGGCCCAGAAAGATGAAGTATTCGACGAGCCTCTTGCCGATAGATGAACAAGGAATTGTACAATTTACGTGTATCGGGAAGAAAAGATTTTTCTTATTAATATAGAGAGTGGTCCAACGCGAACAGAACTTTATTTCCTGAAAAAAAAAAAACAATTAATTTTGCACAGGGCAGTTGAACGTACCATACGAGATAAGACGTCGGTATAATCTTTCTTAAAAAATTATTTTTACACTTTGCTCGTTCCTATGGAAACTATTCTACTTTTTCTCATCTCCGACTGTAAAGAAGTTTAAAGATTCTGTTTGTAGTGGATCATCCTGTATTATTCAATGGTACAAAAGTAGTTACGGGAGAGATAAAAGTAAGAGACATTTTGTTCCTCAAAGAGTTACACGATGGAAAAGATGATAGCAAAACGAGTGAGCGAGTGGGATTGTGCGCGGGATAAGAAAACTAAAAGTAGCGAAGAAAACTACGACGAATCCAAGAAGATTCGTTTGCAAATGTGTCGCGAAGGTGACCGAGAAGCTGAAAGCGATTAGGAATCGTACGATGGAAACAAAGAGCTATACTACCAACCCAAAGATGCACAACATCATAGAGAGCCGGACAATTTGATAGAACTCATGTCAGTCTAATTATATTTCTTGTTATATTATATACATATATATATCATATTTTCCAAAAACGAATTATATATAATTCAATAAAAAAAAAAGACACTCTCGTTTGATACTTTGCGAGACCTTTGAATTATTCCCATCGTCCAAAGAACGTTTTCGTTATTTATTGATACATCAATTGCTCACAGATGAGTCTAGGCAGGTCTGATTATATCGTAGCCCGAGGCAGTCATCTTTTAGTGTGCCCTTTATTTTATCGAATGGAATTTTCTGTCTTTTCATATAGGTAGTTTTCTTAATTTAGGTATTATTCTAGGTATTATTTTAAAAATTCACAATTTGCAAAGAAAAAGAACAATTTGCAAGAATAAATGAGAAAAACTGTAATTTTTGTAATTTCTTATTAAACTTTAACACTTTGACGACCGGAGTCACGTATACGTTTAGTTGCTTATTGTTTTTCCATTGTTTATCTATTGTTTGTCCACTATCGGTTGATACTATATCTATTATATTGCGGAGGCCATATCATCATTTTCAATTCTTGATTTTTTTCCAGGTCTTTTAAATAAGCTG